GGGGGTGACAGAACCTCAGAAGGCAACAGAACCATCTTCCCACGAAACCTGGAGATTCCTGAGAATCGGGCTTCGAAAGGCCGTTCGGACCTACTGTTCCATCTGGCCTCTTCCGAGTCATTCCCTGACGCTTCCCCTTGGTTCCTTCCCAGGGGCCCGGTGCTCTCTGTGGCCATGGGTTGCAACAGCGAATCCTGCTACAGCGGTGGATCGGATGCGAGGATCCGCTGCTGGAAGATCCCCGATTTGGGCATGGATCCTTACGACGGCTACGGTAGGAAGCTCCCCGGCCTCCTGGCTTGCAGAGTCGAATCCCGAAAGGAAATGTCGGATGGAGAGTTGGGTTGATGGTTCGGAGACGGGGAACCGTTCGCTCCCCAAACCCTGGTTTAAAAAGCCTGCTGGGGCCCTGGCTGTGCGCTCACACCCTGATCCCCCCCTCCTGCTTTTCGTTTTCCGAAGCTGGTTGTTGGGTCATTTAGTTAAACGTTCCTTTTTACGTGTTCAGTTGTTCAGCAGTTGTCTTAGTCCAGGGGTAGGCAACCATGGCTCTTTGATGACCGGTGGACTTCAACTCCCAGAATTCCTGAGCCAGCCGTGCTGAGGGGAAAGGGAGAGGTTTCCGTGCTGAGCCATGCTGGCTGAGGAATTCTGGGAGTTGAAGTCCACCAGTCATAAAAGAGCCAAGGTTGCCTGCCCGTGTCTTAGTCCAACCTGGGAATACATGGGAGAACCGGTCAATACGGTTTATTCATTACTAAGGTTTATTTGCTTTATTTTTATCCCGCCTTTGTTATTTTTATAAATAAGACAGCAAACTAATATTCCTCTCTCCTCCTATTTGCTGCACAACAGCCACAACCCTGTGAGGTGGGTTGGGCTGAGAAAGAGTGAATTTATTGTCTCCTGGTGATTGACCCAAAGTCACCCAACTGGCTTTCATGCTTAAGGCGGGACTAGAACTCACCGTCTCCTGGCGATTGGCCCAAAGTCACCCAGCCGGCTTTCATGCCTGAGGCAGTACTAGAACTCACCGCTTCCTGGTTTCCAGCCTGGTGCCTTCAGCACTAGACCAAATGGGCTTTTATGCTAGTTCGGTCTGAACACATCTGAGCAGCTGGCAGGCAGAACCATCTTTCCCTCCTTCTGAATTCACGTTCCCCACCGAAGGGCCTGGTGCTCTCCTTGGTCCCCCCTCGTTTGCTGCGAAGCGTCTGCACAAGCGAAGAGTGGCAGACACCGTCTCTCTCTCTCTTTCTCCTTGTGTCCTAGATCCGAGTGTGCTCCACACTGTCTTGGACGGCCACACGGATGCCGTCTGGAGTCTGGCGTTCAGTCTCTCGAGGAACCGCTTGGCCTCCTGCTCGGCAGACGGCACCGTGAGGATATGGGACCCCTGCAGCGGCTCCTGTCTCAGCACCTACAACGCGGAGAGCGGTGAGCTGGGCTGGGTTGGGCTGGGCGTGGCTTCTGCAGAGGGGCGCACGGGACTCTGCAGGGACCACAAGGGGGTGATGCAAACTCCATCCTTTGAGATAAGACAAGATGAGTATATTTCACCATGCACATGTATACATTCGAACTAGACTGTGATGTTTCTCTGTGTCATATACACACATACACACAGATACACATACATATACATACACACAGATACACATACATATACATACACACACAGCCAGAAAGATAGGTAGGTAGGTAGGTAGGTAGATAGATAGATAGATAGATAGATAGATAGATAGATAGATAGATAGATAGATAGATAGATAGATAGATGATAGATAGATAGATAGATAGATAGATAGATAGATAGATAGATAGATAGATAGATAGATAGATAGAATAATCACAGACCGTTTAGAATACATAGCGGAAAAAAGAGTCTTGAGAGTTAACAAGGTTGAAACATCCTTGAATATAAGTTACAAATCTGTTGTAATGTCAGATGGCCAGTAAACAAACGGTTGTAAGTCAAGGACTACCAATAACTGAAAAATCAGAATCCTACAGAGTGGAGGTTTTTTTAATTATTATTACATTTGGGGGCTGACCTCCCCCCGCTCCTACTGGTCCTCCTCTGCAGAAAACGGGAGCCCCACCTCGGTCGCCTTCTCCAGCACCGATGCCACGCGGGTGGTGGCGGCCTTCCAGACGGGCAGGGCGCTGCTCTACGACGTGGAGGCCGCCTGCCCCGTCCTGGCGTTCGAGAGCAGGCCTGCCACTGGTGAGTTGGGGCGGGTGGATGAAGAGGGGGGGGGGCTGGTTTCCCAAGGGAAGGGCTTTCGGTGGTGTGGTGGGGGGGGAGTTGCGGGCTGTTGTGTGAATTTTAGGCGGGCGGGTTGCGTTCTAAAATGAAGGAAGGGTCCTTAGTTCTGAAAGCCCTCTGGAAGCAGAGCTCACACCCTTCTCTTGCCCTCGGCCAGGAGCCAGTCAGATCAACCAGGTGGTGAGCCACCCCACCCAGTCCATCACGATCACCGCGCACGACGACCGAGGGATCCGTTTCCTAGACAATCGGACAGGTAAGGGGGGACTTGGGCCCTCCGATTCCTTCAAGGGCTCCTTGGTGCTCTTTGAGCTGGATGGAGACATTTCATGACCCAACTGGGCAACATCATCAGTGCTAGTAAGGAATGGGCTGAATTTCAAGCCTGAGCTACAGATACTCTCCTTTATCTGGTTCCTTCACAAGAACGGGCAGCGACCCCCATTCAGGGCTGGAAAAGAAAGCCGGCAGGATCCGGTCTAGCCCTGATCACGCTTCCCCTCCCTCTCTCGCCCTCTCTGCCCAGGAAAAGCCGTGCACTCTATGGTGGCCCACCTGGATGCGGTTACCTGCCTGGCCGTGGATCCCAACGGAGTCTTCCTCATGTCAGGAAGTAGGTACCTGCTCTCTTCCTTTGTCTCCCGGGCAGAGAATGGCACTTGCGGCCGACTTCGCAAGTGCCATTCAGCACAACAAACTGGAGGGATGAAGCCGTAAGGTCTGCGGCTCCTCGGCTTCTGTTGGAGCCGGCCGGGGCATTTGGCGGCCCCTTTGGCTGCCCTTGTCCAGCCTGGAGTAAGGAACTGGGAACCAGGGGTCAGCAAGGGCACTCCGCGCACACGGTTTTATTCTGAAGGCGACCGCTCCTTCCTTTTTCCCACTGATATCCAGGCAGTCCTAGACTTACAACCACAACGGAGTCCAACATTTCTGTTGCTAGGCGAGACCGTCATTAGGTGGGTTTTGTCCCACTTTACGACCTGTCTTGCCACAGCGGTTAAGTGAATCACTGCAGTTTTTCAAGTTAGCCACACGGTCGTTAAGTGAATCTGGCTTCCCTCGTTGACTCAGCTTGTCCGAAGGTGGCCAAAGGGGATCACGTGACCTTGGGGGCACTGCGACCGTCGTAAATAGGAGTCAGTTGCCAAGCGCCTGAATTTTGATCCAGTGATCAGAGGGATGCTGCAACGGTCGTAAGCCTGAAAAACGGTCATAAGTCCCTTTTTTCAGCACTGTTGTAACTTGGAACTGTCACTACATAAAACAGTTGTAAGTTAAGGACACCTGTACGTGTGTGCGTGTGTGCCTGTGCACCTTCACATCCCTGTTGGTTCCGTCCTCTGAAACAATCCTGGTTTCTCGTGTGGCCTCTTGAATAAATCAATTGCCCACCCCCGTGCTGGACAAGTCCCGAGTCTTGGATTCAAATGCTGACAGCCCCTGCGTGAGTCCTCCCTTGAGAAGGAGCCGTTTGGCCTTCAAAGGGCCAGCCCTGCTCTCGGTTTTGGCCAGGAGAGGAGAAAGACCCTGGCAGCCCAGGAGGGCCTCGCATTGCGTGGGTGCGCATCTCTGGGTGTGGTTGTGGGTGCTTCCAGCTGCTCTCCTCCCGCAGGCCACGACTGTTCGCTGCGGCTGTGGAACCTGGATAACAAGACCTGCACGCAGGAGATCACAGCTCACCGCAAGAAGCACGAGGAAGCCATTCACGACGTGGCCTTCCACCCCAGCAAGGCCCTGATCGCCAGCGCGGGTGCCGATGCCCTGGCCAAGGTCTTCATCTGAAGGGGAGGCAGGCCTGCAGGTAGGCCCTGCTCCTGGGGGGGGGGAGAGGAGACAGGCAGCATCTGGGCAGGAGGCAGGGGGTCAGACTAGAGGACCTCCAAGGTCCCTTCTGACTCAGTGACAGGTAGTCCTTGACTTAACGACCAAATTTCTGTTGCTAAGTGAGCCAGTTAAGTGAATTTTGCCCCGTCCGAATTTTGATCCCGTCGTGATGCTGCACCGGTCGTAAGTGCAAAAAGCGGTCATAAGTCCCTTTTTTTTAGTGCCGTTATAACTTTGAGTGGTCACTAAATGAACTGTTGTAAGTCGAGGTCTACCTGTATTCTCTCAGGCTGTTAGGAAACACCCCCCCTCGCCCCCTCCCTCCGGGCTTCTTCACAATCCCCTTTCTCTCTCCTCTTCCCAGGATTCCTGGCGCTTCCGCTGCCTTCTTTCTCCGGCCCGGCAGTGGTGCTACGACGGCGCGTCCCTCACCTGCCGGGACCCCTCCCCGCCTCCCCTGAGCTCGGGACCAATGCCTGCTGGACAGCACGAGGGGCCAGCCACGGCTCCTTCCTCGAACTCAGAGCTCAACCTTCTTCACCAGCACTGAAATCTCTGTTTTTCCACTCATTTCACGGCCCCCCCCGTGTTTTTTATTTCCCAGCTCAGGGAGTGGAAAAAAAAACATTTCCTCCGCCCCCCCCCCATGACCGTTGGAGGGGGAAGGAAGCCCCGACTGAGCTGCTGCAGTAGCTTGAGGGAGGGGCACCTGGACACACACCCCCCCACGAAATTTCTGCATTGCAGTCTCTCCCCTTCTCTGCTCAGTTGGCCAAGGACATTTTTTTCAAAGGTTTTGGGCCGGTTTGACGCCACACAGACTCTTCCCGAACGAAGGTGGACAAAATGCGACCGTCTCCAAGGTCGGTCGGGCCGTTGACTCGTCCTCCGGCCCCACGGCGGGGGCTTCGGGGCTCAAGAGCCGGAAGGAAACCCAGTGCCAACGTTTGCTCCTTCTGAGCCACGGGATTCCCCTCGTTCTGCCTCTCCTCCACCTCTTCAGCCCCTCCTGATTTGAACCCCTGGGGCACGCCTCGCTCAGCGGCAGCGATCTTGGGAAGAGGCGGGGTGTCATTCTCTTCCAACCCCCTGCACCCCCATTTCCCAGGCAGGCATCCTGCAAGAGGCAGAAGATCTGGGCGGGGGTCTCCTCTGCTTTTGCCGTTATTCTACAGCAGGGGTCTGCAAACCTGGCCCCTTGCAGACCGGTGGACTTCGACTCCCAGAATTCCCCAGCCACCAAAGAATTCTGGGAGTTGAAGTCCACAAGTCTTAAAAGGGGCCACGTTTGGAGACCCCTGTTCTGAAGGGGGCAGGTAAGAGAAGGGGGCAAAGGGGTCCAGAAGGAGGGGAGCAGGGTTGACCAGCCAACCAGCCCATGCTGGTCTCCCCTGCTAGTGAAGAAACATCCCGGCTTCTTCCCCTCCTTGCTGGCGGTGGTCTTTGGGGGCAGGAGAAAGGGGGTGGTCCGCGCATGTGATGAATAAGGGGGTGATGAGGAGGGTGAAAAGTTTGGGGGAGGAACATTGAGAGGGAGGGGAGGGGATTGTAAAAGTGGCTGGATGGCCTCGTCCTGGGCTAAGAGGAAGGGGGTGCTTGCTTCTAAGTGGGTGGGTGGGCTGCATGCCTGCAGAAGGTACGGGAGCCACCAGATTTGACACCTGGAAGCCAGCAATCCATAGCATTTCTCAATTTTGGCCACTTTAACACACGTGGACTTGGGCTCCCAGAATTCCCCAGCCAGCATGGCTGGCTGGGGAATTCTGGGAGCCGAAGTCCACGTGTGTTAAAGTTGCTAAGCTTGAGAAACTATGTAATAATTTCCCCATTGCCTCTTTTTTCAAAGCCACTGACTTCCAGGGCCCCCCTTCAGTTGCTCAGCCTGCCTGGGAAGGGGTCCTTCCTAGCAATAAAGCCCCCCTCCCACTCAGATTCTTGCTTCTGCTGTCCTCTGTCCAGAACTCGGGGGGGGGGGGGCACGTTTTTGCTCCAAGCAAGGAAACTGGCAGGACTGGTAACCGTTTAAAGCAAGATGCACGTTCCCCCCCCTCCCCCATGGAAGACTTTATTAGAGAGGGGGCATTATTTGGGGGGCTAATCCATACACTATAAGATGACTTTCCTTAAACCCGGGGCTGTCGGGAAAGACCCCAGGTTGGAGATGGGTTTATTTTCCTCACCCAATCGCCAAATATGTCAGTTTGGCAACCAGGTTTAATCCAAGGTTCGGAAAGAAACGAAGGCAGCTTCTAGATTCAAAGATGGGGAAGGGGCACCCCCCCCCCCCATCTTCTGGATTTGAGTTGCTCCGTTGGCCCCAAATCAGCCACACTAAGCTGGGGTGGGCAGCTAAGAGCCTCTGCCCTTTTTCCTGGCCTGGGAAAACCTATGAAAGGAGACCCGGGCGGTTCTTCAAAGCGCTGGCATACGTCTACGCAATTTTGGTCATATCTGCAGCGAGGGGTCCCAAAAGTCAAGGGAGCGAGCACCACCAGGAGATCAAAACCCTGTCTCTTTTTTGTTAATGCACATCAATGGGCTTTGATTTCCCAATTCTGACCTCCATCTTGACCTTGTAAGCCCCACCCTTCCCTCCCTCCCTCCCTACAAATATCACCCAAGCTGTTTGCAAACGCCCCCCCCCCCTCCCTGCAGTGGGAAGTAAGTTTTAGAAAGAAAGAAAAAGAAAAAAAACATGCCAGTTTGGGTTTCACTTTTTAGACGTTTTATCTCTTTTCGTTCGGGGTGGGTACTTGGGTCTTCCTGGTTTGTTTTTGTATATTCTGTACAGTTGAGAAAAATAAGATTTGAAAAGGAAAAAATGGCGCACACCCCCCCCAGCACTCCGAAGGGCTGATCCTGAAATAACCACAACCTCGTTATCACTGTGTGATAGTTTCTACGCACCAACCCGGTCTTTTTTTTTAAAAGGAAAAATGTCCCATTTGAACTCGGGGGTGGGAGAGGGAGGGGGAAGGCTGACTGAAGTCAGAGGCAAGAAGCAGCCGTGTCACGAGTACCCCAAATCCACACACACACCCCGATACTCACTACTGGCCATTTCCCACACGCCCCTTTTTCTCCCATTCACCCCTCTTCCTTCTCCGTGGGGCTCATCGATATGAACCGAGCACGCCTGCTTTCTTTCTTTTTTTAAAAAAAAAAAACAATGCCAATTTAGCTTTCTCCTATATTTATTTGAACTTTCTTGTCTTTATAATTTGGGGCCTTGTTTTAATCCGAAAACTGAACTGTATGTGGCATACACACACACAAAAAAAGGGAAAACTGCCTCGGTAATAATAATATTAATAATAAAAGTAATTTTAAAAAAAACCATGTCATTGTTTTGCAGTAAGAGCCGGAATATGCAACTCTTTTATTTTCTGGTCTTCTGCAACGTTCGGGGCCCGTTGCGCACCCATTCACAAGGATTCACAAGGGTTGGATTTTTCCGTACAGGGAGTCAATTGAAATTACAACAATTCGGTTGCCGTTCAAAGTTACAACTGAACGGTCACTGAAAAAAGTGTTTTTCACACTTAACAACCATCCCCGTGGTCACGTAATCGAAATTCAGACCCTTGGCAAATGACTTGTACTTAGGACGGTTGCATGGGGGGGAGGTGTCACGTAATCCCCGTTTGTGACCTGACAAAGTCAATGGGGAAACCAGTTTCACTTAACAGCTGCAGTGATTCACTTAACAATTGTGACAGGAAAGGTCGTAAGATGGGAAAACTCACTTGACAAATGTCTCATTTAACAACAGATTCTGGGCCTCAATTATGTCTTAAGTTGAGGACTACCCGTAGTTTTAAAAAGACTCCCGAAATGAGGCCGTCTCTGACCACAAAGGGTGCTTTTTTTGGAGATGGGTGGGAGCCGGGCTGCTTTTTCCTTCTGGGGGAGGGGTGCCTGCCCCTCCCCCACAGCCCTGGGGGTACTTTTCCATCCACTTCTCTTCCTTTAAAAAGGATGGTGCACTTTTGGGGGAGGGGGAGCATTCCAACACACGTTCCTGTTTTCCCAACAACAACCCTATGAGGTGGGGGGGGGCTGAGAGAGAGACAGACTGGCCCAAAGTCACCCAGCCGGCTTTCCTGCCTAAGGTAGGACTAGAACTCACCGTCTCCTGGTGATGGGCCCAAAGTCACCTAGATGGCTTTCACGCCATCTAGAATTCGCCACCCTAAATTTTCTGTCTCCTGGCTTGGCTGGCTGAGGAATTCTGGGAGTTGAAGTTCACCAGTCTGAAAAGTGGCCAAGTTTGCGGACCCCCTGCCTTAAGATAAATAGGAACCAAACTCTCCGAATTGCCCATGGTTTGTTATCACCCTGCGTCCTGTTTCCTCTGGTGGTTGAAATAGCAACCCTATTTTTTTAAAAAAATAAAAATAAAACACCCTGCCATGCTTGGGGAAAGGATTTCCCGTTCTGTTCTCCAATTCTGCTGAAATTCAGGCCCTGAGAAGCAGGAGGAGGCATGCCCCGAGCCAGCTTGGCGCGCAACCACCCCCCTGCCGCCGCCCCCCCCCCCCGCCCTGGGCACGGCTCTCCGGAGCGCTCGTCAGCTTTGGCTTTAGGAAATGAAGCGTGGCACGGCCTGCCAGGCGCTGCACCTGACTCAGGAAGGCTTCTTGGGCTGGGGCATCCAACGAGCGAGCGGTGCCCGCAGGGTGGCACCTGGAGGGCGGCTCAAGGTGAAACCCTGTCGGACCTGCTCTGACTGCCAGGGCCCTTTGGGTGTCTTTGGGCAGGTGGAGCTGCTGCTTTGGCTGGTTTGGCTTCTTAATCCTCCCTCGGCTGCCTGCCTGCCTTGTTTTTCAGCAGCAGCAGGAGAGGAGGGGAGTCATCGTGGCTCAGGGCTGAACTGGGGGGGGTCTTCGGTGGGCTCTGAGCTGGGGGGTTGTTTTACCCAATTAAGGAGCACCCTCCACGCCAGAAGAGTGCAGATTGTGGAAGGAGACCTGGAGGGTCCTTGGTGCTCTCTGAGCTTGGTAGTTGGTTTTTGTTTTTTTTTTGCAGACATTTCATGACCCGAGTGGGTAACATCATCAGGGTGAGAAGAGGAGATCCCTCCTGGACACCGCAACCGTCATAAATACGAGTCAGCTGCCAAGCCTGTGAATGTTGATCACGGGATGCTGCAGGATCCCGGGGAACACGTGATCCCCTTCTGCAACTTTCTGACGAGCAAAGTTAACGAGGGAAGCCGGAATCACTCAACCACCCGGTGACTAATTGTACAACTGCAGTGATTCACTTAGCAACTGTGACTGGGAATGTCGTCAAAATGGGGCAAGGCTCACTTAAAAGTGTGTCTCGCTTAGCAGCAGAAATTGTCGTAAGTCGAGGATCGCGTGCAGTCAAGACCATGTTTATATTTATCGATCGCTTTTTGTCTTTGTTTCAAAAAAAAGCTGCCGGGAAGGCTTCACACCCAGGGCTGGCATGCAGGGAGAGCCCCATTCCAGGCTGTGGGAACGTTGCTGCCGAGGGGCGTAATCCGGGCAGCCTCTCCAGCAGGATGTTTCTTCCAAGGCAGACAGGAAGACGGAGCCAAACCGCCCCTCCTTAACTTCCAGGAACAGCTCTCGGATATCTGGCAGCTGCAGCCTCCGGGGCTCCTTCAAGAGGACTAGCCGCATCGGAAGAGGCCCCAAGCGAAGGTCGGCCAAGAAAGGCGGTCCGAATCGATTGGGTCGTATCTCGCTTTTACTATTTTGACAAATAAGGCAGCGAAGATATCCAAGACATTTCCCTTCTCCTGTTTGCCCCACAACAACAACCTTGTGAGGTACGTTGGGTTGAGAGAGAGGAGCTGGCCCAAAATCACTCACTCGGCTGGCTTTGGTGCCTAAGGCGGGACTAGAACTCACCGTCTCCTGGTGATTGGCCCAAAGTTACCCAGTCGACTTTTGTACCTCAGGCGGGACTACAACTCTCAGTTTCCTAGTGATTGGCCCAATGTCACCTAGCCAGCTTTCATGCCTAAGACGGGACTAGAACTCCCAGCCTCCTGGTAATTGGCACCCAGCGTGTTTTCATCGCTAAGTTCGGACTAGAACTCACCGTCTCCTGGTGATTGGCCCGAAGTCACCCAGCCAACTTTCACGCCTAATGTGGAACTACAACTCACTGTCTCCTGGTTTCTTGCCTGGTGCCCTAAGGACTACTAGACCAAACTGACTTGATTTTGGGACCAAACCTTTTTTTAAACAGAAGATGCCGCCAGTTTAAATGAAAGATTAAGATGGATGGACTCCAACTCCCAGAATTCCCCCGGGTAGTCCAGCCATCTTAAAGGTGCTGAGCTTGACCTACCTACGCTGTCCTGGACGTACAGTAAAGCAAGCTAGAAGGAACTAGATCTCGGCTTATGGAAAACAAGCATCCTTCTGCGTAGTTAGAAAATCTGCCAGGCGGTGAGGACAGAGGAGGCCTGAGAACATGCCAACTATTTTCAGAAGCCTCTCTCCATCGCTCTGAAGTCACGAGTTCGAAACCTGACATTAGTTTCATTGATCCTTGGGTTGCATTTTCATCCCACCTTTTTGTTCAGGAGCAGACGGTGTGGTCATTCTCTAACACACCCACACACCCACATCTCCCACCCTGTTTTCCCCAAAAAGCAAGCACAAGGATCTCCTGCCATGAGCGGGGGGAGGGGGGTTGGACTAGAAGACCTCTAGGTCCCTTCCAGCCCTTTTTTTTTTCTGTGTTCTGTAAATATTGTAAACATCTACTTGAAAGACATTTACAGAATTGATGTAGAACATAGAATGTAACAATAGACCAGGCAACATTTGACAGGGAAGGTATAAGATTCTCTATCTTGAGCTGGGGCTGGACTAGAAGACCTCTGAGGTCCCTTCCAGCGCTAGGATTCTACGTTCTGTGTTCCACCCTCTGAAGCAGGGTGGTCTCCCAAGTCTCCCAAGGAGTTTTTGAAAAGGGGGAGCTGGGTCTCCTCGCTACTAAAAGGCCACACCTGAATTCCCACACCTGTTCCCGTTCGGATGACTCAAGTCTTCCATTCCGGGAAGAAGAGCTGGAGAGCAATTTCTTATCATCACACCTTCCTTTTGAGTCTTGGTGGGAAGACTTTTGTGTCTCAAGCGCCCCAAGTCATCGGCAGAGACATTACAACGTCTAAACAAGAGCCAGGAATCGATTGATCGATCAACCAATTAATTAAATTTATACGCCTCCCCTATCTCACTGTCGTACCATTTTCCTTCACGTATTTGGGTATAGATGGGTTCTTACTACAAATCCTATAGTCCTTTGCTAACAGGGCTATGGGAGATGGGGTCCAGTGCATCCAGATGAGATGGGGGAGGGGGATCTTGCCCCCCCAAAAATGCATTTCTCCGTTGCTCCCCCGCCAAGTGGGGTGTTAAGGCAATCTCTGGCCAACTGGCAGGAGGTGGACAGGGGCTATTCTGGACCGGATCCCTTCCCGGGTCTGACCCGGACCAAATGCCCCCCTCCCTTTAAAAAGAGGGGAGACTCAGAAGCCAAGACTTGGGGAGGGGGGTCGCCGAAGTCAAGGTGGAGTACCCCCAGGGTTATTTTGGCTGCAGATGTTAAGAGTTTTTTTAAAAAAAAAAACAACCAGAATTTCTCGCCACGGCGGGAGGAAACGAAAACAATCAGGAACGTGTGAATCCGTTTCCGAGTTCAGTTCGCAACCCGGCAATCCGATTGTGCCTAACGAGCAATTGATAAGTTAGACTTGAGCAACTGATAAGATAACATAGCCTGCATTGTTGTGTTGCGCGTTTCCAAAATGAGCCCAGTCCCGCTAAAGCAAGCAGAAGATTGAAATTCCTCGACGGCGTCACCCATCCATTCATCGGGCGCGGGACGGGATGGGGCTTGGCCGCGTGAAATTGCACTCTGCACATGCTCGCAGGCACCACCCACCAGCTCCAGGTCCTGGACCCTGGTGAGCGGCTGGTGGGGTGGTGCTCAGCCTCTCCTGGTCCCCCACCGCACCCCACCCCACCCCGGCCGGTGCAAAGGCGACCCCGGGGACCCCCGCGCGGCCCCAGGGCGGCGCTTCCTCCCCGCGGGCGGGCGCGCGCGGCTCGTTCCGGCTCCCCTCCGGAGAGACGGGGCGGGCTCCGTGACTTCATCCTCGCGGCTCGCCATTGGCCGCGCCGCCTGTCACTCCACGCACTTCCTCCTCGGGGGAAAGAAGGCGCGCGCGGGGAGGGGGGGCGGCAGCGGAGGAGCGACAAAAGTTTGTCCGGCGGGCCGGGCGCTGCTGCCGCCTCCTCGGAGACGCGTCCCGGTCGCTGGAGAGGCCAGAGGGACCCGGGCAGACCCTCCCTGGGTGGTGGGGGGAGAGAGACAGAGAGAGAAAGAGAGGAAAGGAGGGAGGGAGGGAGGGAGGGAGAGAGGGAGGGAGAGAGAAAGAAAGGAGGGAGGGAGGGAGGGTAAGAGAGAGGGAGAGAGAGAGGGACGGAGGGAGAGGGGGAGAGAGAGAGAGAGCGAGAGGAGAGAGAGAGAGAAGGAGGAGAGGAAGAGAGAGAGAAAGAGGGAGAGAGAGGGAGAGAAAGAGAGGAGAGGAAGAGAAGGAGAGGGAGAGAGAAAGGGAGAGAGAGAGAGAAGGAGAGGAAGAGAGGGAGGGAAAGAGAGAGAGGGAGAGGGCGGGGAGGGCAGCTGTGCCCGCGGGCGCCTGGATGGCCTCCCTGCCCGCCGCCCCCGCGGGCGCTGCCGCCTCCGCGGCCGCCCCCGAGCCGATCCCGCCGGCCGCCCCCCCCGCCGGGGTCTCCTTCCAGCTGCAGATCGGGCTGACCCGCGAGTACGTCCTGCTGCCCGCCGCCTGCGACCTCGCCCACGTCAAGCAGCTGGCCTGCTCCATCGTGGACCAGAAGGTGGGCGCCGCGCGGGGACCGGGAGGGGAGGGGAAAGGGGACCACCAGGAGAGGAGCGCGGCTGAAGCCCGCAGCCTCCCTGACTCGGCCGTCGCTGCGGGGTCCCTCCGCAGCGGGGCAACGGCGGGCAGGCGGTGGGAAGGCGCGACCGCCGCGCTCCTGTCCGGAGAAGCCCAGGCGGCGGGCAGGTTTCTTCCCCCCCGAGGTTTCTCCGGGGGCTTCCGCCCCTGGCGGCTCCCGGGCTCCGGAGCGCTTCGCCTAAGACGGGCCGGGCGGTGGAGGCTGGAGACCCGTCCGGGGAGCCTCGGGCTGAGCCGCTGCCCTTTGCCCGGCCTGGGTGTGTTTGGGGCCGGCGTGCAGGTGAGTCTCCGGAGCGTTTCCAGGTGATGGTTGTGGCAAAGGTGCCTCTCTTCTTTTTTTTTTTTTCTCTCTCCAAAAGGCCAACGGACTTTCTTGCTGTTTGTTTTTCTTTGAAAAGGTTTCACTTCTTTTTCTTTGCAAAGGGGGAAAAAAAGACCCCAAGAAAGTCCCACTTGCCTTTTGAAATAAAAAATAAAAAAATAATAAAAAAGGAGCACCTTTTAGACAGGCAGGTGTGTGGCACAACCTGTCGTCCCTGTGCTGGACAGGCAACTCTTTGGCCAGGGACTCGGTCAGCCTGGCGAAGGGCAGCGGGGGCGGGGGAGCCCTGAGCAGGAAAACCGGTTCTGGGTGCTTGCAAGCCCAGCTCCGCTCACAGAGCAGGTGTGGGGCAGATCAAAGGGGCAGGAATGCGGCCAAGGTCTCCGGGTCAGTGATTCGGCTGGAGGGGGGGGTGAGGAGGGAAAAGCAAAATAAACCAGAAATTGGGAGAGAGAAGGGCAGAGTTGAGTGAGTGACCAGGTGAGAGAGCTGGGCAGGTAGACCCGTTCTTGCTTCCTGGCTCCTCCATAGCTACCCTTCTGCAAATATCTATTTATTTGTATCCCAACTGTATTGTTTTTACAAATAACTGACGGTGGTGAACATATCCAACACACCTTCCACTTCCTGTTTTCCCCACAGCAACAACCCTGTGAGGTGGGTTGGGCTAAGAGAGTCACCCAGATAGCTTTCATGCCTAAGGTGGGACTAGAACTCCCCGTCTCCTGGTGACTGGCCCAAAGTCACTCCATTGGTTGTCATGGCTAAGGCAGGACTAGAACTCAAGGCAGGACTAGAACTCACTTTCTAGCCTGGCGCCTTAACCACTGGACCAAACTGGCTCTCAATATCAAATAGCCTCAAAATATGTGGAAGTTCAGCACCCATAATCCTCCAAACGCATCTTAAGGTCTGTCTGTTTGCCAAAAGAAAGAGGAGGGGGGGGCTTAAGGTTTGTCATGCTGGACAAAAGGTCCTCCTACTGGGTGTACAATGGTTTAGATTTCGCACACAGAATAACAGAGTTGGAAGGGACCTTGGAGGTCTTCTAGTCCAGCCCCCTGCTCAAGCAGGAGACCCTATCCAGGGGTAGGCAACCTTAGCTCTTTTATGACTCATGGACTTCAACTCCCAGAATTCCTGAGCCAGCTATGCTGGCTCAGGAATTCTGGGAGTTGAAGTCCATGAGTCATAAAAGAGCCAAGGTTGCCTACCCCTGCCCTATGCCATTGCAGACAAATGATTGTCCAGTCTCTTCTTTAAAATCTTCAGTTTTTAAGCAGAGGTGCCCAAAGGAACGTGTGAACCCCGATTCTGCTGCTGTTGGGGACAATAGTTCATGCCGCTCTTTTTCAAACTTGGGTGGACTTCAATTCCAGTCGCCAAGTTTGAAAAACGTTAGTTTATATAGGGTGGCAGGGCCTATACGAATGCCACCTCCTGAACGGCAACGAGGAGGCAGCCTAGACTTCAGGAAACCACAAGGGAAAATAAAATCGGGGGCTGGGGAAAACCCCGAAATGAAAACAGGGGGGGGAAAAAACACGAAGAGTTGCGACGCTGACTTAGAAGAAAGAAGAAAAAAACGTTCAGGGCTGCCACGTTGTGTCGCAGAGGCTGCTTGCAGAGTTTGCATTTTGCAGGTGGTGCTTTCGATCCGGTCCAGGGCCCCATGGGGGGTGGGTTAGATCCATATTGTTAGGGCAGGTAGAAGCCAGAGCAGAAACCGCCCTGATGGATGCTGAACCTGAACTCGGAGCCGGGGGGGGAGGGGAGAGAGTGAGAGAGAGAGAGAGACGTGGCTGGAGTCGTTGGCGGCAACATCTTGTCTCCTCTCCCCTGCACAAGTGATGTGGGGCCTCGGTGGCGGTGCTGAGCGAGCTTTTTATGTGACAGCAAAGCAGCGGAAACGGCAGCCGGGACCTGCCCGCCTGGCTGCTTGCTGGGCAGGAAAGGGAAACGGTCCCCCTGTTTTGGAGGGTGATAATCTTTGGGGCTTCTCCCGGATGGAAGCCGCCCTGGTTGCATCCGTTGATGTTGCGGCTGCAGCGGTCAGGAGGAAACTTGGATGCCTCCGGGCTCAAGGAGAGAGCGGCCTTCGGGCCCCCGTGGGGCCTGGGCGGCTCTTAAGAGCAACACGTATGTCCTTGGTCAGCCTGACACCCGGCTTTCTCCCCCCGCCCGCCTTGCTTCCGGGTAGCCCAAAGGAATTTGATTTATTCGTTGATCCTACTTAAAGAGCGCCCAGCAATGGATCAAGCTAGAACTAAAAGAGAAACTTCCTGACAGTTGGAACAATTAACCAGTGGAACTACTTGCCTCCAGAAGTTGTGGGTGCTTCATCAATGGAGGTTTTTAAGAAGAGACTGGACTGCCATTTGTCTGAACTGGTATAGGGTCTTCTGCTTGAGCAGGGGGTTGGACTAGATAACCTCCGAGGTCCCTTCCAATTCTGTTGCTCTGTTATTCCCTCGCAGTGGGAATCTGGGCGATGTACAATTGTTATTTGCAGGTAGTCCTTGGCTTACAACCCATTTGTTTAGTGACCAAAGTTACAACGCCACCTGAAAAAAATGACTTATGACCGTTCTTCACACTTATGACTGTCGCAGCCGCCCTGTGGTCATGTGATCAAAAATCGGAAGCTTGTCAACTTACTTAACTATGGCAGCAGTTAGTGACTGCAGCAAAAGTCCTAAAATCGGGTGCGCCTCACTAAATGACCGTCTTAGTGATGGAAATGCTGTCCCAATTGTGGCCCTAAGCCGAGGACCTCCTGCAAAACAACCGATTTAGCTGAGAAACGGCCACCCGAGCATCCATTTTCCACATGACCTCGAGTCCTTATTGTGGCTGAGCAGGAGACAGGAAATCCGGGGGTTTTTTCGGACTTAAATGGTCAAGCAAATTCCTTTGAAGGTGGTGCCTTCACGAAGGGAAGACGCCGAATCTAATCTCAGGTTGAAAACAACCGAATAACAGAGTTGGAAGGGACCTTGGAGGTCTTCTAGTCCAGCCCCTTGCTCAAGCGGGCAAGGTGAACTGGGTACCACTGTGGTACAATGCGCTAAAAGTTTAGATAAAGTGTGAGCAGGTCTCCCTCCCCCCCGTGTCATGAGTAAGATGTAGGTTTTATCTTTGGGGAATTGCTTCTTCGGAAGGCTAACCCCGTTTCTGCTTTCGTGATCGTCGTTGAAGTGGGTAAATTCACTTTATTTCACTCTGCTTGTGCCCCCGTTTTTAATTTTAGGCTTAAGTTAGTGTGGGGTGAATGGATTAGTTTGATAAAGGCCCTTCTTAAACTTGAGGATGTCCAAATAATCTGAAAGAGTGGGAAAGCCCTAAAGCACTTTAAGAAAGGAGAATTAAGAATTTAAGAATTCTGGGAGTTGAAGTCCACCTCTCTTAAAGTGGCCAAACTTGAAAAACACATCCCTAAACATTCAAACTCTGCCAGCTGCTTGCAAATGTCAAGCTGTCAACTTTGCTTGGGGGCGAAGCCCTTGTTTAACGCCGTCGATCCTCCACGTCCAGAGGCAGTCTACCTTGGAAACACCCCATTCTAAAGGCAGAGAACCAACCAACGCCTGTGCTCTTGGTGGTTCTCCTAGCTGCACATCTGCCTGCCAGCTGTTGCCTTTGGAAACACTGGACCGGATAGGAAAACACCATCGTTGTTGTTTTTCCAATGGGGTGTCTTCCAACTACAAACTGGGGAGGGGGATCCCTCTCTGAAGCCCGTAATAGTCCCTTAGGAAGGGGACAAAAGCAGGCAAGGGGTCTGGCTGCCCCCCCAGCCCTGATGCAATCCCACGTTCGGAGGGAGCAGCCCCCACCCCAAGATTTGTGCATTTGTGCAACCTCTCGGTGTTTTTCCAGTCTGCCGCCTCCTTGCAGTCCAGCCGAACTGGTGCCAGCTGGGTGAGTCACTGGCATTTTATCCCCCCCCCCCCCTTCCTTAACTCAGCCTGCTTTTGGCTGCCCTTAAATTTATTCTTGGTTTTTATAGGGTTGTGGTTTTTTTGGTGACCCAGGTTTGAATGCTGGGCAGCTGGGCAGTGCTGGAGGGTGGTGGGCTGGTGCAATAGGATAGGAGACCCTGAAGCCGTCCCCCCTGCCCACCCGAGCTGGGATGTTGTGGCATTTTCAAGGAGGGGAGGGGTGGATTTGGGAGCACTTGGAGACAGAGGCGAGGCTGGCCCATCTCCTTGCCCAGATGTGTGGGACTTCAACTCCCAGGGTGCCTTGCTGGAGGCTCTCCCAGCCCTGGCAGAAAACGTCCCTTCCACTACAAAGTCCTGGGTGTGCAGTGCAAAGAAAGAGGAAATTTGATCTCCGGGTGAAAACAAAGTTTTCTTCGTCTTCCCTGGAACTCAGTCAAAATCACATAAAGTATCAATACCGCTTAATTATAAAGCCTTAGTAAGGCCACACTTGGAATACGCCATCCAGTTTTGGTCACCACCACATTACAAAAAAAGAGGTTGAGACTTTGGAAAAAGCGCAAAAAAGAACAACTAAGATGGTTAAAGAAAAGAAAAGAAAAGAAAAGAAAAGAAAAGAAAAGCTGGCTGGCTGGCTGGCTGGCTGGCTGGCTGGCTGGCTGGCTGGCAAGAAGGAAGGAAGGAAGGAAGGAAGGAAGGAAGGAAGGAAGGAAAAGAAAAAAGAAGATGGCTGGCAGGAAGAAAGGAAGGAAGGAAGGAGGAAAAGAAAGAAAGAGAAAAGAAAAGATGGCTGGCAGGAAGGAAGGAAGGAAGGAAGGAAGGAAGGAAGGAAGGAAGGAAGGAAGGAAGGAAAAAAGGCAGAAAATAAAGGAAAGAAAAAGAAAAAAGAAGATGGCTGGCAGGAAGAAAGGAAGGAAGGAAGAAAAGAAAGAAAGAAAAGAAAAAAGAGAAAAAGAAAAGAAAAGAAAAAAGAAGATGGCTGGCAGGAAGGAAGGAAGGAGGAAAAGAAAGAGAAAGAAAGAAAAGAAAAAAGAAAAGAAAAAGAAAAAAGAAAAAGAAAAGAAGAGAAAAGAAAAGAAGATGGCTGGCAGGAACGAAGGAAGGAAGGAAGGAAGGAGGGAGGGAGGGAGGAAGAGGAAGAAAAAGAGGAAGACTTGGGGGGGGGAGCCAATCTGTCCTGCAAAGGAATGTCGCAAATCAGCTGGACCAAAATCAGAGCCGAGATTTGCATAACCGTCCCGGGTGCCAGGAGGCCTCGCATGGCTGCCTCGCCTACCTGCGTGGCACACGCCTCCTGCTTCCTGTGCAGCCCTGGGCCTCCGCCTGCCTGCCTGCCTCCCGCGCAGAGCTCTCAGCCTCCCCTCCCCTCCCTCCTCCCTCCTCCCCCCCCCAGCCCCAAGGTTGCCTGTCTGCATTTTTGAACAGCCTCGTGCAAAATACCTGCCACGTTGGCAGCAAGCCAGCGAAGGCCCCCCCCTGCCTTTTGGGATGCCCCAAGCGAGCGAGAAGCTCTTTCCTTCCCCAGCCGTGCAGTTTGGGCACCCTTCCTGGCACAGCCTCCAAGGGTGGGCCCCGGGTGACTGTGGGAAAAGAGAGGTTCAAGAAAAAAAAAAAAACTACCATCCCACCTACATGGACGACAGGTGTTTTTTTGAAATTCCGCTTGTCCTTTTCCCCAAAACACACCTGTTCTTCAAATAAAATAAAGCGCGCTCTTCAAGCTCAGGACCTTCCAGGATGCCTTAGAGAGCCAGGGTGGGCAACAACTGCTTGTCCTCGGCTTACGACCACAACTGAGTCCAAAATGTCCGTGGCTAAGCCAGAGAGTTGTTACGTGATTTTGCCCCGTTTTACGACCTTCCTTGCCACCGTTGTTACGTTGTTAAGCGAATCTGGCTTCTTCCCCCTTGACTTTGCTTGTCAGAAGGGGATCACGTGGCCCCCGGAGGGAGGCTGCAACCGTCATAAATATGAGACTGTGGTCAAGCGTCCAAATTTTGATCACGTGACCGTGGGGATGCTGCAACAAATTGGTCATGAGTTACTTTTTTCACCGTCGTTATAAACTTTGGTCACTAAGTGAACTGTTGTAAGCAGAGGACTCTCTGTACGGCAACTTCACAACCCTGTGGACTTCAATTCCCAGGATTCCTGATCCAATCCTGATCTAGGCAGACCACTGGCCTTTACTGATGAGGATGGATTATTTGCCGGAAGTATTGATTATTGGCTTCTAGTTGCTAATACTTTGGGGAGCCCCCCCCCCAGAACCAATACAATCCTGGATTTTCACGGGGTTCCCCAAAACGAGGCTCCTAGCCGCAAGTTCCCTACCCAGCAAGTCCTGCCTCATTTACACACCTCCACAGGTCCACAAAGCGAAGGAAATCTGAAGTTGCTTTGTAAACCCAGCTGCCGTTTGCCTTGGTGACCGCTTCACTTAACGACTGAGTGGCCGATGGTGATCGTTCAATGAGGACCACCTGTACAGTCTGAGGGTGCAAGGCTGGGTCCCCTCAAACGCTGAAGCATTCAAGCCCTGGGCTTGCCTTTCCCTGGTACCAAAATCCTGGTTTTTATAAGGCTTCCCCCCCCCCCCATTGCTTATCTGATCCGTGCTGGTCTTTCTCTTTCGCAGTTTCCCGAGTGCGGATTCTACGGCCTCTACGATAAAATCCTGCTGTTCAAGCATGACTCCTCAACAGCCAATATTCTGCAACTGGTCCGAGCCGCCTCTGACATTCAGGAGGGAGACCTGGTGGAGGTGGTTCTCTCAGGTAAAGGGCCTCGGTTAGGGAAGGCAGTCTCCTGATGATGTTACCTAGTTGGGTCATGAAACGTCTGCAAGAAAACCACCCAGCTCAGAGAGGACTCCACAATTATTATTCTTCTTTCTTCTTCTTCTTCTTCTTCTTCTTCTTCTTCTTCTTCTTCTTCTTCTTCTTCTTCTT